TAGTAAGATTCCGAGGAAGATCTAGAATGGCGAGAGCCTCTCTCGTCAGCCGCATTGATGTTGTCGGATCTATTCCTTCCTCATTGTGTTTGATTTTATTGCGGGAGTGCCAAATGGCCCACATGATCGTGATGATCAGTGGCCTATCCTTCTGTGAGAAACGATCATGACATAATATATCCCTCGCCCAAGAGTCTGGATGGAGCTGAGGTAGATGTAGATCAAACCATGACCGAGCCTCATACCAGAACCTCTTCGCATGCGAACAGTACATCAACGCATGTTGGAGGTCTTCATCTCTAGCTAAGCAGATATTGCATCTGCTATTCTCACTTATATGCCGCCTCTTGAGTGTGGTCTCATCTGGAAGAATGCCACGAATAACTCTCCACCAGAACACCCTCACCTTCGGGACAACATTGAGCTTCCAAAGTGCAGACCACAACTGATGATCATCCCGTGAAGTATCGGTATCCATCCCTTCCTCTAGAGCTAAACGCTCTTTCTGAGTCATAAGAGCACGGTACGCCGTCTTGACAGTATAGTTGCCTAACTTATCGAGCGCCCAAGCGAGAAAATCTTCACCGTCGCCTTGCCTCAATGGGATATTAAGAATGGCCTGGGCATCTGGCGCAATGAAATTGTCTCGGACCACCTGCTGTCGCCATGACCAGTTATCACTGTCTATCAGATCAGAGACCTTGTCGAGTGTGGTAGGTGATGGTTGCAGCAGTGGCATCATGGAAATAGTTCCCGGAATCCATCTGTCAGTCCATATAGAAGTGGAAGTGCCATCTCCAATTCTTTTTATCAAACCGGCTTGGAGAGCTTCCCTGCCCGCCATAATCGCCCGCCAAGTCTTCGAAGCTGACTTGGGCAGCGTAGCATCCATGAAATCAACTTCCGGGAAATACCATCCTTTTAGCACCCTTGAGCACAATGTATCCGGCTGTGTGAGCAGCCTCCACCCTTGTTTGCCCAACATAGCTAGATTAAACTGGTGCATGTCCCTGAAGCCCATGCCCCCTTTGCACTTTGGCGTCGTCAATTGTTCCCATGAGACCCAATGCATTGACTTCCTGTCAAGAGAGCTGCTCCAAAAAAATCTTGCCATTGGGGAGGTAACACTCTTGCATACCTTCTTGGTTAGAAGAAAAGTACTCATACTAAACGTTGGTATGGATTGCACCACTGATTTCATCAATGTTTCTCTGCCTGCACATGCCAATAAACGTTCAGACCACCCTTGCATCTTCCCTCGAGCCCTGTCACCAATGTGGTCAAAAGTTTCACTTGTGATGCGCCCCACAGCAGTAGGAAGACCCAGGTACCGCTCGCTAAAAGCCTCAACCTGAATGTCCAGCATCGCCTTGATTGTTTGCCGCACCGAATCAGGGGTATTTGTACTGAAGTAAATTGCGCTTTTGTCTCTGTTAACCCTCTGTCCGAAGGCATTACCATAAATCTCCAGAATCGTATTCAATCTGTCCGCGCTTTGTCCACTTGCACTGATGAATATAAGACTGTCATCTACAAACAGTAAATGACTGACCCAAGGTGATCTGAAGCTAGCTCTGATCCCCCTGTCAATATATCCCCCATCATATGACTTGATCAAGGAAGATAAGCCCTCTGCACAAATGAGAAATAAATAAGGTGATACGGGATCTCCCTGCCGCAAACCTTTCAAAGGGGTGAAAAAAGGAAGAAGCTCCCCATTGACCCGAATCGAGAATCTGACAGAAGATACACACTTCATAATGAGTCTAGTAAAACTCATAGAGAACCCCAGTCTCAACATGATGGCCTCCAGGTAGTGCCATTCGACTCTATCGTACGCTTTCATCATGTCAAGCTTGACCGCACAGCAATAATTATTCCCCTTCTTCCTCCGCTTCATTGTGTGCACACTTTCGTATGCAACTAACACATTGTCGGTGATCAAGCGTCCAGGAACAAAGGCACTCTGTTCTTCACTAATAATTTCATCCATAATACCCCGCATGCGGTTAGTGATTGCCTTGGCAGCAATCTTATACAGAACCGGACAGAGAGCTATAGGGCGGTATTGAAGAATTGTCTGTGGATGTCGTACCTTTGGGATGAGAGTGATCGAAGTGTCATTGAGTCCGGTAGGCATGTCACCCCCATTCAGAAATTCCAAAACTGCTTGTGTCACGTCCTCCTGGATAACACTCCAGTGACGTTGATAAAAACCCGCCGTAAACCCATCAATGCCCGGGGCTTTGGAGGCTGCCATTTGGAATAGCGCCTCCCTCACCTTGGTTGCATCATATGGTTAATTAAGAAGATCATTCATAGCCTGTGTTACTTTCACCGGAACAGAGTTCAACAAATTATCAACATCATGAAAACCTTGGGACTCAAACAAGTTCCGGTAAAAAGCTTGCACCTCCTCCTTGTCCTCTCTTTCTGTTGCACAAACCGAGCCGTCCTGGCGCCTGAGACCGGCGATTCTATTTATGCATTTTCTCACTGCTGCTTGTGCTTGAAAGTAGGAAGCATTGCGATCTCCTTCACATAACCAACGAACACGTGAATGTTGTTTCATCCATATCTCTTCCTGGTGCATAGCCTCCCGGAGTTTTGTGACCGTACTTTTCTCTTCATCTGTCGGGCCACGTCCAACAGACTCACTCCGGAGCTTATTCAACTTTTTCTGGAGCTGTTTCACCGTACGTGTGAGACACCCGAACTCCTTTGCTCCCCATGGACCAAGGGTGCGCCTGAGGATATCAAGCGAATCTGATATACCTTGCAGTCCCGGGGCACGAGCATGACCACGCCATGTTTCTGAGACAAGCTGATCATAATCCCTATGTGTTTGCCAAACGTTTTCATATCTAAACTGCCGTGTATGCTGAGACCTACCCGGCAGAGAAGCTTGCACATCCGCTACAACAAAACAGTGATCCGATTCACATGCCGCAAGATGCTTCACTCGGATATACTCATAATGTTGCCGAAATTCCTCATTTGCAAAGGCTCTATCCAGCCTTGCTTTGACATTGGACAGGCCTGCTTGCCTATTATCCCATGTGTACGCACAGCCTGACCATCCAAGGTCTTGTAACATACAGTCATCTATAACCTCCCGAAAGGCTCGCATCTGCCCCTCCGGCCTGGGTGTTCTACTGAAGTGTTCTGATGCGAAGAGCGTCTCGTTGAAGTCCCCCATGCACAGCCACGCCGAGTGTGGAATACCAAATAAGGTGCGCAGAAATCGCCAACTATGACGTTTGTTTTCCACTCTAGGAGCGCCATAAAATCCTGTGAATCGCCACTCCCGAGAGTTTTGATTCAAGTCCTTAACCCCTACGTCAATATGTCTGGTACTAAAATTCTTCAGCTCAACTAAAACATCCTTTGTCCAGAACAGACCAATACCTCTGCTCAACCCTTCACTGTCGACTGCATAGCAGCCACTGAAACCAAGTTCATATTTCAGAAATTCAACACGCTTGCCTCTAATCTTTGTCTCCATGACAAAGAGCAGAGAGGGTCCTTCTTGCTTCACTAAGCTGCGAAGCTCTCGAACTGCCTCGGGGTTCCCAAGCCCCCGGCAGTTCCAACTCATGCATCTCATTGGGACGGGCAGGACCGCGCCGCGGTCTCTGCCGAATTTTCCGGTGTAGGCTTCTTCTTCTTTGGATCACGTGCAAACTCTCTCCCCTCCCCCTCCTTATCGTCCAGCTTTCCATCAGATATGATTGGGTCTTCTGAATCCTTGCTGTGTTCGCCCTGGCCCGAGGTAAGGAGGAGCTGCTGTTTTGGTTTGTAGACTGAATTCGGCCCCTCCTCCCTCTTATACTGCTGCATGTTCTTCACAGGTGAATTTACCTCTACCCCCGCATCTTCCTTAGAGCAAGAATTCCTAGTATTGTTCTTGCTGCTCTACTCTGAATTCTGGCTCCGGGAAGAGTTGCCACTAGAGGCTGGTTTTTTGGACTCGTCAGCAGCCCTTAGCTTGGACCCGAATGGCAAGTCGCCGTTGGCATCTCGAGTCCCCGGTGCAGGGCAGTGCAACTCCGAGTGTCCAAGGCGGCCGCAGGAGAAGCAAAAATAAGGGATTTGATCATACTAAATATCATAGGGATCAACCCTCTTCCTCCTGGCCGAGTCAATTAATATCCACCTTCTCAGAGGCTTGTCCACTTCAATGGTAACCCTAGCCCGCAGATAGCCCCCGATGTGATCAAACTTTGCTAGCTGTGCCTTGGGGTCAATCTGTCTAGCAATAGGTCCAGCCCATGCATCATCCCGAAGATTGTATGGGAGGTTTAAAACCCTAGCCCACACTTGGAGCTTGTCAAATTTCAATTCATCCGGCCTCATACAATCTTCAAACTCCGATAGAATCACAGCGTTTTTGTTCAGGTGCCACGGTGATCCACTCCAAACTCGATCTCTATCTCGTTGATTCTCAAACTCAGCCACAAACATGTTAGGACCAGCAGGGCGGAACTGTAGTCCCCTTGGGTTGCCCCAAGCCGGGCGAAGGGCGTTGGTGATCGTCTGGATATGGTACAGATTACGGTGCAAGATCTTGCCTGCCAGCAACCACTTCGCCGGGCCTCCTTCCACGCGATCATCCAGAATCAGCGGCGTGGCTTCTTCTTCAGAGATATCCAACTTCCCCAACGCCTCTTCGAGATGTGTTCTTGCTGACCGAGGGGAGCCCTTCCCCCCATCCTTCTGGTTGGCGTCGACAGGCTGAGATGATGCCATCACGCCCGATCCAAGCCCCGCGCGCCTCGCCGACGAGATCAGCGAGCGCCGTCGTGTTCCACGTCGAAACCCTAATCGCCGCCGCCAGAGGGAGGGGTCCTTGGTTTCGGGGAAAAAAAATCCGGCTACAGATTGTGAATATAACAAGATCAACTAGAGGTAAGCTGGTCACGAATGTACAGGATACCTACGCAGCCAGTTATACATATACATATAGCCCTATTGCCTTAATGTCGTCAGAAGATTGAGGTTCAGGAAGCTGGCTGCCTCTGCTGCTCAAGGTACTCCTGGATAGAAGAGAGGAGGGCAAGATTTGGGACAAGATCATGATTTGCTAGCGGCAAGTTCGTCATCGGAGACCTGTTGTTCCCGCCATCAAACCAGCGCCTTATGGCTTCTGCTTCGTAGGTGAATCCATCAGATGCCACTTGAGGATCCTTCATAATATCCTGAAATGTACAGGTTTACCACCCGGTGGTCATTAGGCAGGGAAGCTTTTAGACATGCATTATAACCACTCCAAGAAACGAAGGGCAAAATATGTTATTAACTGGCCCCTAGCATGCTTCAAAATTTTGTCGTCTAACCTGTTTCCACATGAATAAGAAAATTCCTATCCTAGTATAAAAACATGTCGCCAGACCCCAAGCTATTGGAAATGATAGAAGTACTGACAAAAGTTATTTACCATAAGAATTGGACAAATCAAGTGATCAAGCGCGCAGCTTCCTCTAACTGCCGATTGGACACATGGCCATGAGGCTGCAGGAGGCTTCCTGATAAGGGGCTCAATAACTGACCATACTTCTGTTAAGAGATCAGGTCGCTTTTCCCTCGTCATTTCCACACAGCTAAGACCAACGACGGCTAACTGCTTGGCTTGTACATATGGCCAGTTCCCTGCTGATTTATCAATCAGCGTGTGCAAGCTATTATTCTCCAATGCTTCTGAAACTTTCTTTGCAATACTCAAGGGAGGCATTCCAGTCAGAAGACGCAGAATTATAACACCCAGAGAGTAGACGTCGGAAAGCGGCATGAGGTCTCCGGTGGTGAGGAACTCCGGGTCCAGGTATGGCAGCCTTGCTGTCAGGTCTAACTGGTGGTTGCCGGGCTGGAGAAACAGGGTTAACATACCAAAGTTGCAGATCTTGCTTCTGAAGTTGGCGTCGACAAAGATGTTACAAGGCCGGAGATCGCCATGGACCAAAGCACGCAAGTGCAGGAAAAGCAGTGCAGAACAAACCTCACCAATGATCTGCATACGGGTGTGCCATGAGAGAGGTGGAGATCCATTAGCACGAACTATGTGATCTTCAAGGTTTCCATTTGGTAACCACTCATACACAAGGGCTGAAACTTCAGAACATTTTCCAATGCAGTCGACAATGTTTGGATGTCTGCCTTGACAAAGAATAGAAACCTGCGATAACCTTATGTTAGTAACAGGATCAGCCAAATGAAACCATCATACTAAGGCATAGGCGGTTGAAGAGAGAGTGCCGAGCCGACCATGCGCTCTGAGGGCGACCGCGAGGGCGCTCTGCGTCCGAAGGCGGATCCGCCGGCCGGCGCCGGTGATCGCCGGCGGGTGGGGGGCCGGTTTTGGGCTTTGGCGGATTCTGATGATGACAATGCGGAAGACGATGGGGCGGAGCCGCCGGGGGAGTCGCCGCCGTCCCCTTCCCCGTCTGAAATTATCTGCGAATTTTTTCTTTCAGGGTATTCCGAAGAGGAGGTGGCGACGACGGTAGATCGGGTCGTTCCCCCGGAGGATCCGGCTCGCGCAGGGCTTCACGCCGGAGAGAAGATTGAGATGATTCGCCGGATTGTTCATCGGAAGACGGCGACTACGGCGCTTCGGCCATGGAAAGGTCCTTTACCAAAGGTTAGTTTGCCAAAGCTTACTGTTTTTGATCTGATTCGTCCGGAGGAATGGGTTACGGTTAAACGGAGAAAGAAGGCGAGGAGATCGTCCCGGAGTTTGGGATCGCCGGCGCCGGCCATGGCGGCCGCGGCGGTCTCGATTCAAATGTCGAGGGCGGCCGCGCTGGAACGGCTGCTGTGTGCGGCTGGGCCGGTTCGATCGGCTGCGGGCGGTGTGGGTTTTGGGCCGGAGAAACATGGGTATGAGGCCCATGGTTGTTCTGAAGCCCAGCCCGGTATATCTCTCGAGCCATGCACGTACGATCGCGGTATTACGATCTTCCCTGCGCCGTCGGTGGGAGGTGTTAGGGTTCGTAAGTCGGGGCGACGTGGGTTTCCAGTCTGCGGTGTTCACCGGGCGAGGAGGATCTCACCGCTGATTCCTATGACTGGCCGGGGGACTACACCCCCTCCCGCTGCAAGTGGCGCGGCGGGAAGAGGCGGAGCTGCTCCGCCGCTAGCGCAAGGGTCGGGCCGCGGCACCCCTCCGCTCGGACAGCGGCCACCGGCGCCGGCCACTGCTGCTGCGGGGCGGGGAGGAGCACCTCCAACGCAGCACCGCGGTGCTCCCCCTTTTCCTTTGAGGCAGCAGGCGGGCAACCAAGGCCCCACGTCCCAGGGAGCCCGGGCCTCGGCTTCGTTGCCGGCTGGGCGGGGCGGGCAAAGGCCCCATGCGACGGCCTCGGCTACGGCTGCTGCGGGCCGGGGTGAGCAGCGGCCTCCCCCGCCGGTGGTGCATGCCGCTGTGACGGCGGCGGTGGGTACGGCCGGGCTCAGACCCTTGGCGCCGGGGGTAGCTTCTGCTGGCCGTGCTGGAGTGTCTACCGAGGCCGTGCATGTGTCTTCAGGTGGTCAGCAACGTGCCCTCCCGCCTCATCTTGCCGTTCGGCAGGCGCAGAACCGTCTTGGGCAGACACAGACACAGGCCCGACAGGTTAATAACAATGGGGGTCCAAATGCTCCACCACGAGGCAAGTGGGGGGATGACGGATATGATGCATATGGTGCGGGTCAGCATCGAGGATCCTCTTCCACGGGAGGAGGCCGTGGATTTGCTTGGCAGAGTGACGGGTCTGCAGAGAGACCGTTTCTAGGGCCAGATGGAGGCTTTGTTGAGGGGGGCTCGGGACCGGATAACAGACAGAGAGGTGGTTCTCGTGGATATCGTGGTCGTGGTGGAGGCCGAGGGAGGTTTCGCCGGCCGCCTCCACCCAGGGTTGATGGCCCTACCGATGCGGCAATGGAGACTGAACAGGTTCCCCATGAGCTACCACCCCACGCGATGGAGGTGGTGAATGCGCTTGCCGATGTTGAGGTTCCTGGGACTGCGAAGGATACCGAGGTTGCTGACCGGGCTGATGTAGAGCGGGCATCCAAGTATGCTCGCAAGAAAGAGAGGATGCTTTGTTACCGGTGCGGGGAGAAAGGTCATTTCATTGCAGAATGCGTGGCTCAGCTTTGTGAGTCCTGTGGAAAGCCAGCACATGCATCGGGGGAGTGCCCTGTTTTGAGGGAGCAGATTCCAGCTCTTACAGTGTACGGCGTGTACTGTGCTGAGCTGATGTTTTTTGAGTCCGCAGCTGCGAGGGAGATTCCAGTTGTTACTCAGTGTCTCACTACTGGTTTGGTGAAGATCACCCAGGGAGATGTGTCACAGGCTCAGATTGTGCAGAGGCTTCAGGAGTTGGCTCCGGGTGATTTTCAGTGGGACCTTGTCTCCGTTGAAGAAAGAGTGTTCAGAGTTGAGTTCCCTTCAGTGGAGGACTTGCAGCGCTTGCTGAGCTTTGGGATGTGTAAGGTGCCAGGTACCAATGGTATTTTGGAGTTTCACGAATGGAAGAAAGTTGAGCCTAAGGGGAAGCCTCTTACACAGGTGTGGCTGCGCTTCTCTGGGGCACCATCTGAGGCACTGGCTGATGTTCGTGTGGTGGCTAGTTTGGGTATTATGGTTGGTAAAACGGAACAGGTTGATATGGCGTTTACTCGAGCACAGGGGGTGGCCAGATTGCGAGTCAGTATTCTGGACATAGAGTACGTTCCGGACGTTGTCAATTGGACATATAGGGGAGAGGTATTTCCCCTTGAGATCGAGTTTGAGGATGCGGAGTTGTTTGCTGAGGTGGCTGCTGGTACTGATGTGGATATGCACGAAGGGGGAGATGATGCTGGTGCTTCCAGGGGATCGACTGAGGAGGCTGGACAGGAGTCCAATGGATCGGGTCCTATAGCTCAGGAGCCCGCGAGCGGATCCGGAGTGGAGCCGTCTCCAACTTCGTCTCGGCCTCATAACACTTTGCGGTTTGGATCCTTTCAGCTGACGTCGGCCCCTCCTCGCCTGTGGAGTGATCGGGTTGACTCTGACGATGCTTTTGAGCACTCGCTCCCGGTCTTGGACTTTGGACCGGCGCTCCGGCCTACAGACAGCACCCGTGATTCGGTTGTAGGTGCGGTGGAGCCTCAGGGGTCGCCGGTGCTCCCAGGGCCATCGGTGCCCTTGTGCAGCCGGCATGAGCTCGGCTTGGTTCCTTCTCCGAGGGGAGGGGCGTCGGGGCAGGCGGCCCCGACTCCCTCTCATGCTACTTTGTCGCCTATGTCGACACCCTTGGCGCCAGTATCCGGCGGTGGTGGTCCATCTCTGGGGCAGCTGGCCCTGGATGATGGCCACGCGGGAGCTTTGATTGTCGAGGGGTCGCCGGAGGCGCTAGGCAGGCGTCCGGGGCAGGTGGCCCCAGACCCCCTAGTTTCGACGGAGGTCGAGCCAGTGGTGTACTCGGCTGCGAGGGCGAGAGCTGGGGGGGACGGACTAGGGCAGGCGGCCCTGGCGCACACTCCCCCTGCCATCTCTCCCAACCTTCGGAGGTCTCCCTCGTCCAGGCCCCCTCCGAGTGCCGCTACTCGGGAGGAGGTAATTGCTTTCGGAGGGATCCCAGACCCGGTCTCCGAGGGGAGACGGATGAGCTCTCGTCTCCAGGACCTTCCGGAGGTGGATGATATGCAGCAGCGGTGCGCTATGCGGGCGGCCAAGCTTCGTGATGTTGAGGTCACTACCGGTATGTCAGTAAATTTATCCAATTCCATTTTGCATTTCTCTAAGGATGAGATCATTAATAATGCAAACCAAGTAGGGGTGTCGCTTGGGAATAATAATTCTGAAATTTCAAACTCGGTTAACGATCTATTAGATTTGGAAGCAGAACGGGCATTAGAAACCATTAGAAACCTAGCGGCAGTAAGACCTATGAATGATGCGGAGATTGATGCATTGGGGGTAAGAGTGCTTGACAATTTCTGTGCGGATCTTGTTCCTCCGTCTGCGGAGTCAGACGAGGAAGAACCCTGTGTGGACGATGTAGTTTTTGCACAACCGGAGCACGGTTATGAGGACCGGGTTGCGGGAAATAATATTCCTAAATGTAAGTGGAAGCGGAAGGTGTACCCTGCTTCTGCGGTACGTAGGAGTGCTAGGATTCGTACTGCCAAAAAATTCCATGATGACCTATGAAAGGAATATTCAGGAATAGCAGAGGTCTTAAGGACTTGGCTAAACGTAGGTTTCTAGCGGAGGCATCTTTAGAGCACCGGTTAGACTTCATTGCACTCTCTGAAACTGGTAGGGATAATTTTGCGCCACAGTTTCTTAATGCGCTGTCGGGAGGTGTGGATTTCGATTGGCATTGTCTTCCTCCAAGAGGGAGGTCCGGTGGCATCTTGCTTGGTGTGAGATGTGATTCCCTTGAAGTCCGGAGCGTTGTTATGGGTGACTTCGCGGTCAAATTTCGAGTCCGGTCTAAAGTAGATGGGTTTAACTGGGTTCTGGTGGCGGTCTATGGGGCCGCACAACCTGAGCTTAAACCGGAATTTCTGGCCGACCTGGTTCGTATTTGCGGATCTGAGCAACTCCCCATTTTGGTTGAGGGGGATTTCAACATCATTAGGAGGAGGGATGAGAAGAATAATGATAACTTTGACGGCCGATGGTCTTTTATGTTTAACACCATCATTGAGAGTTTGGATCTGAGAGAGATCGAGCTTTCTGGTCGACAATTCACCTGGGCTAACTCTTTACCCAATCCGACATATGAGAAGTTGGATCGGGTACTAGCAAGTGCCGAATGGGAACAGAAGTTCCCCCTCGTCACGGTTCAGGCTCTCACGCGCGGGATTTCGGACCACACGCCTTTGTTTGTAGACTCAGGTGAGCCAAGGATTGTGGGAAACAAAAATACCTTCTCTTTTGAAACGGCGTGGTTTGAACAAGAAGGTTTTCTGGATCTCGTAGCCAGGGAGTGGGCTACGGATACTGGAGGAAGATCGTCTGTCGAGAGATGGCCGAATAAGATTAGGCATTTGAGGAGCTTTCTCCGGGGATGGGCAAAGCACCTAAGTGGAGTTTATAAGATTGAGAAGGACAGACTCCTGGATCTTATACAATCCCTAGATGTTAAAGCTGAATCAACAATTTTGCAGTCTGCTGAATTGACTTGTAAGCTTGATGCGGAGAAGAGGTTAAAGGAACTCCTCCGCGAAGAAGAGCTGAAGTGGGCGCTCAGAGCAAAGGTTCGCAAAGTAATCCAAGGGGATGCGAACACTCAATTCTTTCACCTTATTGCGAATGGCAAACACAGAAAGAAAAAAAATTCCAGCTCGAGCAAGATGAAGGCACAATTGTTGGTCACGATAATCTAAAGCTTTACATCACCGAATATTATAAGTAGTTATTTGGACCGCCGGAGGATAGCGTTGTGTCTCTCGATGAGTCCAGGTTTGAGGATGTGCCTCAACTAACTGCTTCTGATAATGCTATTTTGGTTGCGCCGTTTACGGAAAAGGAGGTTTTCGATGCCATCTCTCAGATGGAGAACAATAAGGCTCCCGGGCCGGATGGGTTTCCGGCGGAGTTTTATAAAAAATGCTGGCATATTATCAAGGGGGATCTTTTACCCATGTTTCATGACCTTTTTGCTGGACGGCTTCAACTATTTCACTTGAACTTTGGAACCATAACGTTGCTACCAAAAAAGACCGATGCTATGAGGATTGAGAAGTTTCGGCCTATCTGCCTTTTGAATGTTAGTTTCAAAATTTTTACCAAGGTTGGGACTAATAGGCTCACACAGATTGCGCATTCTGTGGTGCAGCAATCCCAGACAGCTTTCATGCCGGATAGAAACATCCTAGAAGGGGTGGTGGTTTTGCATGAAACGCTCCATGAAATCCACTCGAAGAAACTCGATGGAGTCATTTTTAAAGTGGATTTCGAGAAAGCGTACGACAAAGTTAAGTGGCCTTTCCTGCAAGAAGCTTTGCGTATGAAAGGGTTCGACGACGTCTGGAGGAGCCAGATTGAATCGTTCACGCAAAAGGGTAGTGTTGGCATTAAAGTGAATGACGACATTGGTCATTACTTCCAAACACACAAGGGCTTGCGGCAAGGAGATCCGATGTCCCCTATTCTGTTCAACATAGTTGTGGACATGTTGGCAGTTCTGTTACAGAGAGCCAAGGAGGCTGGCCAAGTAGGAGGCTTGGTGCCTCATTTAGTGGATGGAGGAATTTCCATCCTTCAGTACGCTGATGACACTATCATCTTCATGGAGCATGACTTGGTAAAAGCAAGAAATATGAAGTTGTTGCTTTGTTTGTTTGAGCAATTGAGTGGGCTCAAAATTAACTTCCACAAAAGCGAGTTGTTCTGTTTTGGTAGAGCCAAGGAGGAACAAGAAGCTTACAAACAATTGTTTGGATGTGGTTCGGGGGAGCTGCCATTCACATACCTAGGAATTCCTATACATCACCGTAGGCTTACGAACAACGAATGGAAGTGTATCAAGGATCGATTCGAGAAAAAGCTAAGTTGTTGGAAGGGTAAGCTCATGTCATATGGAGGCCGTTTAATTCTTATTAATTCGGTGCTCACGAGCATGCCCATGTTTCTTTTGTCTTTCTTTGAAGTCCCAGTTGGTGTAAGGAAAAGACTGGACTTCTATCGATCGCGTTTCTTTTGGCAGGGAGATGAGCTAAAAAGAAAATACCGGTTAGCGAAGTGGGATATCATTTGTAGGCCGAAAGACCAAGGGGGTATGGGGATTGAAAATCTCGAGGTTAAGAACCGATGCCTTCTTAGTAAGTGGTTGTGGAAGTTATCTTCAGGAACTGACGCCACTTGGGCTCAAATCCTTCGTAATAAGTATCTTCAAACCAAAACTTTGTCTCAGGTCACGGTTAGACAAACTGATTCACCCTTTTGGAAAGGGATCATGAAAGTTAAGCTTTCATTTTTTCAGAGGGCAAAGCATATAGTTGGTAATGGTGCCAGCACAAGATTCTGGGAGGATACTTGGCTCGGAGGTACACCCCTTGCAATCCAGTATCCGTCGTTGTATCGTGTTGTCCAAAGGCGCGATGCTCTGGTTGCAACAGTCTTTCTTTCGATACCCCTTAATATTCAATTTAGAAGATCGTTAGTGGGCAATCGTTGGGAACAGTGGCTACATCTAGTTAGGAGACTGATGCAAGTCCAACTTTCACAACAACCTGATAAACTGCGCTGGAATCTCACTAGGTCGGGTGAATTCACAGTTAAATCAATGTATGTTGATGTTATTAATTCGAGCTCGATTCCTTCTTCCAAGCATGTGTGGGATGTCAAAGTTCCTTTAAAGATCAAGGTGTTTATGTGGTTTCTACACAAACAAGTTATCTTAACAAAGGACAATTTAACAAAGCGCAATTGGACAGGACCTACTAGGTGTAGTTTCTGTGATCAGGGTGAAACCATTAATCATTTATTCTTTGATTGCCCACTAGCTAGAATTCTTTGGACAACTGTTCATGTTGCTTTCAATATTCATCCACCAAGCTCGGTTAACATGTTGTTTGGAACATGGCTCAACAGGGTAGAGCCCGGGTTAGCAAAACATATTCGCTTGGGGGTGTGCGCCTTAGTATGGGCGCTTTGGAATTGCAGAAATGATCTTGTCTTTAACAGAACAACAAACATTCATGTTTTGCAGGTTTTCTTCAGAGCTACGGCACTTATCCGTTCCTGGTCGCTACTCACTCCGACGGAGGCCAGGGAGCTTTTGGTTACTGGTGCTATCCGATGGGAGACGGTAGCTCGGGATATCTTCAGCCGGTTTGGATGGCGGTCATGTAATAGGATAGGCAATTAGTTTACCTGTCTATTTTTGAGCCAGCCGGTTGTGGTTTATCCTTTATTTGGCTAGCTTGTGTATCTAGCCTTTGGGCTCTGTGTGAGCCTTTCTTCTTCATTTTATTTTGCTACTTTTGAGATTTCGAGACCTTGTGGATGATTTATTGTTAATAAGATGGCCGTATGCATCATGCTGATGCAGAGGCCGGGGATCCCCCTTTTCGAAAAAGAAAAAAAAACTAAGGCATAGGCTACCTCTTGTTGAAATAAAGTATCAGATTTGGATAGCTTGATAGCTGCTGCGTTGTCCTGTATAATGCCTTTATAAACGCTTCCATATTCGGTGTCTCCAACCTTACACAGGTCACTGAAGTTCTGCGTTGCTTCTACCAAATTCGTGATGGGAAACTCGAGAATAATCTGAGGATTCTGATCCTGCAGCTCATTCAGCTGTCGCACCGCATTGTCTCGCTCATGTTTCAATTGCTTACATTCTGCATTTCATTAGTGTATCTTATACATTGCTGCAACCAATTTATGCTTTTGAACAATGAAGAACGAAAAGCTAGACAAAGTTCTCGGTTAGTAGAACTACCCTTTTTTGCCTTCTCTATTTGAACGTCAGACTGACGTTTCAATCTAACAACCTCCTCTTCCAGAGCACATATCTTCCTTTGCCCCCCCTACATGAAATTCGTGTCATTATGTAAATATAAATGGCACCCTGCTAATGGTACAAACTACAAAATACAAGGAACTGCAAGGAATATATAAACGTTGGCCAGATGCCAGCATCATAACATTAATAACAGTAACAATATGTTTCTGTTCCTCCAAACCCATAGTCAACTGTTTAGGAAAATAAGAAATAAAAAAGCTGAAAAATAACAAAAGGATCAACGATCAGATTGCCACGAATCTTAAAAGGGGAATGAGGGGAAGAAGCATCCAAGGGAAAGCCCTACAAATGAAGGCGGAAAATATAATCGTGCCACCAATAGCAGTGAGCTAGAATTTAAGTCGTCAAAGATGGAAAACAGGAAAAGTAAAGCACCAGAACAACTGCCTTCAAAATATTCTGGAAGAATATTGGAACAGAAGGGTATGCCTGGTGGCTCAAAGACTTTGCACTTTTCTGGTAACAAATGATATCCCCATGCCTAATCTGCAAGAAGAACAGGAACAAAGTAAGTGTTAAAAGGGCGTGGAAACGTGAAGACGCGTGCACGAATTACAGACCTCGCTGCCTGAGAAGGTAATATTGGCATCTATGGCATCACACCTAACAAAAGGGTTGAATTTGATTTCCTGCATATTAAAGTGAGAAACCAGGAATGTGTAAATGGAAAACTGCATTTGAGATTAGGAGCAGCAAGGCTGCAGTAATGCAAAACCTGACCTCATACAATTCCATTTCTTCGTCTGCACAAAAACCAGCTAGATTTCTTAGTTTCGGAAGAATATCTGAAGGCCTTGATGAAGCTTTTACAAAAAGCGTTCCGATATATCTGTGAGCCTCATTGAGAGAACAGAGTATTAACTTAAAGATCTCAACTGATAAAAAGAAAAGAACGAGAGAGTATTAACTTCTAAGGGTACTGACCGTATTTGTGCTTGTTCTGGGTCATAAAGCTTTAAAAACACTAATGCATCGTTGCTGCTCAGATTTTGTGGGGAAGAAGCATTGAGCACCTACAAGGAGCCAATAGTGATAGAAAATAAATAAATAAACCATTGGATTGAACAAGAAGGGTCCTTTTTACAGACACCCACGAAGGAAAAGAGAGATATGTTCAAGTTCAGGATCAACCTCCAAAAACAGCTTCACACTATGAAGACCTGATCCTATCAATAGGCCACCCACCTGCAAGAGTAATTATTTAAAGTTATAATTGTTGGATATTCCTATCAACCAATTATCCCAAAAGACCGATCTGATAGGAAGAGGAGATATAATATACGTACTTTAACAATCATTTCATATAACGGGTTGCCTGAGACAGATGAGATAGCACAGACTACAAGGTACGACACTGATTGGCTGCGTCTACTGCTTGAGTGCGCCAGGCCAGCTCAAACCCTGAGGGGATCCCTTATTCTTGCTGAACTAAAGGCTAATTTGAGCTTCTCCGTGATGCACCATTCGAATTTGTGCTAAACTCATGATTAGCTTAGAAATTATATATTAACTATTAAACATTTCTAAGCATGAATTATGGTATATTAAGATGATTAGTCGTAACAAAAACATTGAGTGTGGCTTCTTAATTCTAACTAGCTGGACCTTATCCCTTAAATGGGTGGGTAGGCTAGGATGCCCTCTAACAGCTTGGTTAAGGGTCCAAGGACCGAGGCTATGGCGCTCGCCCTCATCTAAGCACTGGCGGATGCTTTAAAGGCTATTCAATAATATAGGAAGATGCTAGAGAACGCTGTATATTTCTTGCTTCGTACAATAGAATATTGATGATAATATTCTTACAAATAGATACACCAATAGTAGATAGATAAGGTAAGAAAAGAGACCAGCCAGGGACTTTGGTCCTGGTGTGATTATTTTGTTGTAATAAGAATATAACCCAGGCATCCTTAAACGTACAGCCAGCAAACTGAGCAACGCCCAATTTCTAATAGATAACATGATAACACCCAAACTAGCTAGACAAAAACGGGCTACCAATCCCAAAGTTCTGCCAAGAAGAGCTGTATCAAGAACCAATAAGAACATAAGTTATCTACAACGATAATCGGAACACAGAATGGAAAATGCCTTCTTACAAGTAGATTGTTTTCTTCAGTAGAAAATGGTGAGTGAGGACGGCAAGTATCGTTTTGCCTTTTACAAAACAACCAGAGGCGTTGAGATTGAACTGGGATGCTGAATTCTACTGCAATTTCCTCCTGCGAACAACTTAACCAATTCATACTGAAGTCATTATGAACCATCAGAAACAATAAGCTGGAGACAGACAGATTTGTCTGCTTACACAAGATATACCTATAAACAACATAAAAGTAGAAACACATCATTCAATCTTACAAGGGGTCAAGGTATACAACTGATGGGAAATTAAAGAAATCGTGCTAATTATCTGGATTTCTTAAGCTAAAAAATGAGGTAGAAATTTCTTAGCAAATTCAGTGATACTACACCATACATACTAACACTATAAATGCAGCTTGAGCTCCATTGCACTTGTTTCTGAAAAACGGCATCGCAAAAAATCATAATATTGATATCCCTGGTGCTCCCCGAACTTGCCTCTGCTCCTCACATAGCTCCCTGTCTGTTATACTGACAGAAGACGATGAGGGGGGTGCTCATGTGGCACTTTTTTCTGGAACTGAGCTAGGTGAGAAATGAAGACAAGTTTACGAAGCCCCAGCCTAGAAATTCAAGTTAAGAGAGCCAATTGAGGAACTTGTGATGGTTTAGGAAGTTCTAATGCTATTTTCTCTTTGCAATAAGGTGCAGCCGTGCCCGAGTGATGAAGGTTGTACATACATAGCCCTGTTATATGACATGCAACAAGTCTACGACCACTTAAACCTGTTATACTCCATTAAAGAAGGGTGGAGTGGATAATTTGTACAGCTACTCGTGATTTCCATAATAGACTTGCATTAAACAGATACTCCCTCTGTAAACTAATATAAGAGCGTTTAGATCACTAAAGTAGTAATCTAAACGCTCTTATATTAGTTTACGGAGGGAGTACTTCAGAGTTCAGATGAATGGATGGCATTACAAAACATAAGAAATACAACATAGCAAAAACCATGAACAGAGTTGCTGAAATGCTTGCAGGAGAGGTCGCTATGAACAAGAGATAATTTAGGGGAAAAAAAGAAAAATTGGTAAGATTGTGGGCACGTCTAGTTTAGCTTAGATTCCATCTTTTCAAGCAAACATATGTTATAATAATGACTAAAGGAAACAAAGAAACTTCGTTTGCAACTAAATGAGAGACTGTCTGCTTCAATTAGCACCAAAAATTGCTAGGAGCTAAGGCAAGGCCTAACTTCTCCTAAACTAAAAGCCTAGTTGTCTCAGTTACTTGAAGTCTTAAGGATAAATCTCTTAAAATTAAAAGTACAAAATCCTATAGACCAAATTTAGGGTTTAAGCTTCCTAGTGAAGCAGTGGTACTTCTAGTTGAATAAGGTAAGGTGGTACCTTCAATCGGGATATAGGCATGTTATCCGGGACCTGGAGAGCCCTTACTCTGTCGAAATCGACGAGATCAAAATAGAAGCCATCTTTCCCAATCTGCGAGGATAAATCTGCGTCCGTTGCCACCTGGGGAAAGCCAGGCAAAGAAACCTCAACAATTAGATCGGAGGCTGATAATCATAGGTCCCTGCGCCGCTGCCTCGGATCAAATAATCATCGGGTTAAAGTTGCGGCAGGAAAGGAAGTTCAGAAGCGGAAGAGGCATCGCCGCGACGGAGCGACGAGACGGAGACCCCGGGCTTCGCTCGCCGCGGGATTCCCGAACAGCTCCCCTCGAAGTTGTGCGAGTGCGAGGCAGCAGCTCCGAATACGGCCGCCGCGGGGAGGGTTTAAGGTGGTGTTCGCGGTTTTCTCTTTATGGAGTCGAGTTAATTGTAGGAAATTATCATATTTTCGGCGAATTGGTTTGCATAAAACTACCTAGTTCCTAATTTTTTTACAAAATTCATCGCTTATTGCGTAATTCATTTTCAAAAAAACATTGATCGGCTGATTTGCACTGTTTGATCACTTCTTGACAGATGCGTCATGCTAGTCGAGAGCTAACTAGGTAAAAAAAATATCATGTGTGTCGCGAACGCACCTGTGTCCTCGTCAACTCATACTAGCCACATGTGCTAGCCAGGAGAGCGGGAAAAGGGGACACCATAGCTCACCAAGAACTTGTAGTCGAAGCGGGGGTGACAGGGGAGCTTCAGGATGATGGCTTGGCGCACGGCGGCGTTTGCCGGGGCAGGACGACAACGGGAGGTAGCAGGAGGTTGCGGGGCTCATTATGTAGATGCCCTGCAGCATTGGGTCATTGATGCGAAGCCACTGGGGGCCATAGCAAGGTTTGGCGCTCGACTTCCCGACCAAATCGAGCTCAGCCTCGCTGAAGTGAGCAAGGGCAGGGGCACGGGTGCGCTGGAACTCGCCCTCGCCCGAGCGGTCACGGGCGTGTGCTCGCTGGAGTTCGCATCAGTTGAGCGGCGTGTCCGGTTCACATGTCCCTGCGGTGGCATTGATGCTACTCTGAGGCACATTGGCCTCATCCATGGCGTCTTGCTGCGCGGCAATAGAAGGGCACATGTGCCGTAATACGTTCCCAACGTATCTAATTTTTTTGATTGTTTCATGTTATTATATTACCAATCTTTGATGCTTTATATGCTTTATTATGCTATTGTATTTTTTTACTAACCTACTAGTAAATATGCCCGTGCGTTGCACCGGGAGAATCAAAACACACCTCCCTAGCCCAATGACCCAAGATAACATTCTGTTGCATCAGCCATGTAATGTATATTTTACCAATGATCTTAAAATGCATGTATGAGATGCTACACTTCAATCCTGAAAGAATTGATTAATTTAAATATCTAAATTACCTTCCTAGTTAATTTGTAGTATAATGAGTCATTACCTTCATCATTTGATTTATCATTGAGAGCCTAAATCATGAGGATCGTACATGTATGTACATATATAAGAAATTAAGGTTTAATTGGTAAGTTACCAGATGCCCATTACTGATTTTCGTTACCAAATTTCTTCTAAACTTACATGCATGGAGACCTATAAAGTCTAAAGTACAACTCAATTTTCTTTCATATAGAAGGAAACATAATAAACAGATTTGCACATACCACACTAAAACGAATTTTCTATTTGAAGAGGTCACAATAATTTTCATGAAATCAGGTGTATGATTCGGAATTTCTTTTTTAACCATGCATGCTTCAGATTCCATGGAAAGGCATTATTCCCAGTGTGTTGCAACGGAAAAAAATCATCCCTCATACGCACACCTGAGAGCATCGGCGAATCCCTTCAAATCTTTCACAATGCCCCACGAGAAACAACATGATAAGTGGTGTAAGTTCATAAGGTTGTATTATTTGTGAAATGTATTCAACATGTTTCCAATTTATTAGACTACAGAAATATCAACGTTAAGCCGGGATTTTCAAAATACCCCATATAAAGAAGATATTAATAAAGGTTGCATCATAAATGGAATTTTAGGAATGATGATTAATATAATAGCATATTTGAAATCTACACATCTTTTTAAAGGGATTTCCATATATAACATGTTAGATTTGGCGTTAGGATTTGAAAGTGATTAATATAGTACCATATTTGAAATCTACACATCTTTTTAAGAGATTTCTATATATAACATGCTAGATTTGAAG